TTGAATTATTTTAAAAAGATAAGAACAATCACCATTTATGAAAAGTGTATGTGTTTCATTTCAACTTTAACTTTGGTTTTAAGTTTTTTTCTTTTTGCAGTAGTAGAGTTGTTGAAATTTTGAGTCATATTTCTTACCATTTCCTGCTGAAAAGGGTAGCAAATGAACAATGTTAGCAAAGCAATTATGTTCCAGAACAGATTCTCAGTTTCATTGTACATTCTTTTATAATGTGGGACTCAGACTTACATGAAAACTCAAAGTGAGAGCTGGGAAAGAGAAATAATAAAACTAGAAGGTAACATGTCTTGTTCAAAGGTAGATGAAGATGATCTGCTTTCACAAAGAGAACATGTACAGGAATCAGTTAATAGTTCTGTTGAGAACAGCATGACCTATAGCCCCAAACGCCCATTTTTATAGATTGTGAATCCTAGAGTAGTTTGCTATCAGCTCATGATCCTTGCAAATTCTGGTTTTGGTGTGTAACACTTCAGCATTACCCAGTAATGCTGCACAAAGTAATGTAACATTGCACAGAGCAATCCAGTAATCCTTAGTTCATCAGACTCAGAGATAACATTATAGAAATGCTCTAGCGTCCTTCATACACAGGGTTGAGTGACGGAGAGAGAGAGACAGGTTGGACTGGCAGTGAAATCAAGGACAATATTAGGAATCAAATTAGAAAAAACAATAATAACAGCATGATCCATGTGTTAATCAGTGTCCTGAAGAAGGAAATGGATTAACTGCGTTCTTTGAGGCTAAAGCGGTAGCACAGGTGGAAGAGCACCATCTTAAGATCAGATCACTTTCCAGGTGACTCTGGCCGGTCCTTTTAGTTCTCTGAAGCATAGTTTTCTAGTCTATGGATAGGTGCCGTGATGCTTTCCTCATAGAAGTATAAAGAGAATCAGACAAGGGGATGTATGCTGTATTGTGTGTTCACCACCCCAAGTCAGGCCTCCTTCCGTCACCATTTATCCCCCCTTTTAATCTGGTAATCTCCATAGCGTCGTCTGTCTATGAGGCTTTTGTTTTCTGCTGAATCCCTTCACCTTCTTCACCCACGTCATGTTTCTTCTTCCATCAAGTACATGGTCTTTATTCTCATTAGTTTTTCACCTCTCCATTTTCATGTGCCCAGCTTACCAAGGGTCTCAGTGTCTACAGATGCTTTTATTACAGCATCCATCACTTTAACTCGTAGCTGTTTGCCTTTGTACCTGGGTCAGATAGCAGGAAATTTATTTATATTTGAGTTACTTGGCACAGTGCCTGATACGTAGCGGGTACTTATTCAAAGTCTTTAATTCTTTTACGTTTTTAATTTGGACCTCAGTTTTGGCACTTAACAATGTTGAATTCTTGTCAAATTACCCAAAACTCATCTTTTTATAAGAAAGGGAAAACTAATTATTTATATCAAAGAATGAAGGGGGATTTGAGAGGGATTGTGGGAGTGTTAACGAGGCTCTCCTTGTCCATCTCCCCAATCTCTCAGATATTCCTGGTCTGCCTTTGTAGAAAACTATCAGTGGACGTGTTAATGGGTCTCAAGGTCACTCTAGTGCCTGGGAGCAATGCTTGAATGTCTACTTGGAAAAACTGGGAACCTGGATAATTATTGAAGTTGGGGGCTAGAGCATAGGATTATGGAGACACTCCCTGCTAGACTGGGGGTTCAGAACATGCTACAAGAACAAGGTAAAAACCCACTTACTGCAGCTAGAGTGCATGAGGAAAGAAAGCTATTAACCATGGCCATTCCAAACTGAATTTCCTGATCACTGACTCCAAACTCTTTAAATTTGTGCACCGGCAGACAGAGGCGAGCCTGCTCAGGGGCCTGCTGTGTGGGAGGTGGTGGAATGAAGGATTCCAAACATTCTGCTCTCCCTTGTGACTTTCCATTTTCACATCTTTCATTGAGGCTGAACTATTACTGTCTTCTCTGGACCAGGCAAGATGCTAAAACTTACAGGCCTATTCTCTGTTTAACAGACACTTATTAAATACCTATCTCATGACAGTGTGCTGGGGATTAAAGGCTGTACTTTCAAGGTTCCCTTTTATTAATTGCCATTCTCTGAAGGCAACCTACCTTTCCCCTCCTTGGTAGTTAACTGGGTTAGATGAGCTAAGGAGGTGAAGTCTTAGGTTAACCCTCTAGAAGTCCGTTAGATTAGTCTGTTTTGGTAACAAAGAATTATGCCTCCTATCCTAGCCAGTCATCTAAAAAATGTGCTATGAGTAAGCTGGGGTTCCTGGTATAGAGAGTATGGATGAGTCACCCCATCTGTCACACCGTTAGAAAAACAGAAAACCTCACCCTCTGACAGTGGGGGCAATGGCAGCATTTTTGTAAGTGAAGGACAGGATGTCACATTGTACCAAATACTTATAAGTCTTCTTGGAACAATCTTTTATATATATGTGTGTGTGTGTGTGTGTGCGCATGCATACATACATATATACATACGTGTACACGCATATATACATACACACATACACATATCTATCTCTCTGATATTTTAAAAAGCAATTAATTTACCTTGAGGTCTTTCAATAAAGGGATAGACAGGCCAGGATCATAGATTTCTCAATCCTGGCACTTTATAAGGATTTTGTGTGTGTGATAAAAACAGAGCAGAGGAGCTGCAAAGAGAAGCTCCCTCATTGTTCACTGTCCCTAAGTTTTACTGCTATGGCAGGTTGTACTTCCCAAAGATGGCCACAAAAGCATCTCTCAGCCTACATTCCTTCTGTAGTGTGAACCTGCCACTCCCACTTCAAAAAGTGGTGTGTCTATCTTTGTACCCCATTTGTGTAGTATGTGTATGTGTATATATACACGTGCAGCTACTTAAAGGACTTTGAGGTAGATGGGCTGAGAAGGGGGAGAAAGTCCCTACAGGCTAAATTGAGAAAACACCTATTTTTTTGGACTCACATTATTCTGATGTGGCAGGAGCTAAGGGCATGTTGAGTGCACATTAGGAATGGACTATGGGATTGAAGGTATAGAGTCTGTGGTATCTGTGATGTACTTGGAATACCAGAGGCTGAGGTTAGCAAATCTGATTTAGGTTGAGCATATTTTGCAGAATAGCATAAATATCAGCTGAACATTATTTTTTCCTGCCCTGGTTTATAATGTTTTTCTTCCAAATTCTAAAACAAAAAGACATAAAGGTATAGATTAGCATGATAAAAACATTTATTAAACTGTTTTAAAAAACCCTAGAATTTGAGGGTTAATCCCTTTCTGCTTGGTTAATCTTATTTTTTAAAAAGTGAAGACAAAGCTGTTTCTGTTATTGAAAGCTTTAGCAATTGGGGACTAAGGTTCTGTTTCAAAACCTTCTCTTTATCATAAAGCAAATTCTAAAATGTGGATTAACTTTATGCTCTTACATTCAGTAATCTTGTTATAAATGTTTCTCTCTGAATTAATTCTGATGTATGTTCACTACATAATGCTGAATTTTCATAATATATGAGCTGCAATACCAAAGCCCAAAGTGATGCTAGTTTAAAAAGGAGATCACTGTTAATTCTGAAACTTTCCTTATGGCTTTGCATATCACCTCAGCAGAAGTTCTCAAACTTTTTTGTCTCAAAACCTCTTTATGCTCTTAATTATTGAAGGGCCCAAATAACTTTTAAAAAATCAAGTTATATTCATCCATATTTACTGATTTAGAAATTATGTCAGAAAAAGTTTCAAAATATTTATTCTTTTAAAAACAAGAACATTTTAAACCCATCACATGTTAACACAAATACCATATATTTATAAAAATGACAATTTCCAAAACAAACAAAAAACATCAGTGAGAAGAGTGATATTGTTTTACCTTTGTGCAAAATTTTAAAAAGACTGGCCTCATAGGACATAGTTACGTTCTCCCGTGTTTCTTTAGCCTGTTGTAATATCACGTGTCATGTAGTGTCAAGAAAATTTCTTTGAACACTTATGAGAGGATGAGAGTGAAAAAGGCAAATAGCATCTTAGAATTACTATGAAAATCATTTTAACCTCTCAGACCCACTGAAAGTGTGTAGGGGCCGCAAATCACACTTCAAGAACCACTGACTTGGAATATTTATTCAGTGTTAATTATGGATGAAGATAAAACCGAAAATTACTTGTGTATAATCATATACATCAGGTAGGAATAATGACCTATACTTATGCAGCCTATTTTTCTGTATTATAAACTGTTAGTTCTGTTTGACAAATCATTCTTATGAGATACATGGATTGATATGAACATCTAACCAAACCGTGGTCTTATTATGTCAAGAATTGAACGTATTTTTCTACATGAAAAATAACCACAAGTTTTGACTCAATGCAATTTTAAATCTCATTCTGAACTGTCTTTTTGTTTTTTTAACTTTTTAAAAAATAAGTATAGATTTAGAGGAAGTTGAAAAAAAATGTACAGGGAAGTCCCAGGTACCCTTTGGCTAGTTCCCTGCGTAACTATATAGCACGGTGAGAAACCCAGGAGACTGACACTGGTACAATCCATGGAGCTTATGCAGGTTTCACCAGCGCCGCGTGCGTGTGCATGTGTGCGTGGATGTGCATGTGCGCGTGTACTTCCATGCAATGCTATCCGTGTGTAGACTAATGTGACAACTACCACATCAAGATGAAGGACTCCCTCCCCGACACTAATTACAAATAAGGACAGTGAGTCGTCTTAAGAAGATGATCTATTTAAAAAGGAACATTTATCGTTGTTATCATTAAGCCCAGTCCTACAGGTTGATGTGAGACATGAGAAGACTCACTTCCTTACCTCTTCCGTAAAGACAAATTGTTGTTTTATACAGGGCTTTAGAGTGTGATGGGGAGCCGTAAGCAGAGGGCTCAAGACACTGACGACTCTTCGTAGCAGTCACGTTAGATGTGCTGGTGGTTGTTATGGCCGGCAGGCCGGTCTTAGAGCAACGTCTCCCCCGTTCTGCTTTGCAGGGGAGCCATGGATTACTATAGAAAACACGCAGCTGTGGTCCTGGCCGCCCTGTCTGTGCTCCTGCACCTTCTCCATTCCTTTCCCGATGGCGAGTTCACAATGCAGGGTACGTGACCCAACCTGGGTTTGCAGTAACAAGGAAAACACGTCTTTCTAGATGGACATCAATAACGTCATTAATTATATACCCACATCCCTTTCAAATGCGGTAAATCCTGGCTGCTGGATACGCTTGTAGATTCTGAACATAAATTAAGTTCCAAAAATGTACAATAAAAATGATATCTTACATATCTGTTTAAAAGCAGCCTGTATATTTTCATCTGAAATAGATTCCTGATTATTCTTTATCTGCGTTTTACAAACAGAAAACGTTCCTTATTCAGTTTAGCTCAGTTATTTTAAATTTACATTTCTCCCAGGAGACTTGAGAGGATTTTAACATTGTCTTTGTAGATGAAGTGTCACATCTGTTAACGAGGGAGAAAAACAAAATCATTCTTTTGTGCAGTATTGTTTTTTGCTGTATTGTTTTAAAAGTGTCATAGAGTAGCTGAGGTAATTCCATCTGCTATGACATTGTGAGCTACTATTGGTTCTGGTTTTTCTCTAGACAAGTGCTGATATTTTAATCCCAGATCCCAAATGCAGATGCCCCCTCTAATATCAGCCTCTCTGCTCTCACCAAGCTTTCTGAAGTCTGCCATACTTTTCTCTGTCAATATTTGCAGTTTCTATGGGAAAGAACAATAGCAGATTTTAAAGGGGAAAAGAGTTTGCCTTTAGGCAAAATTCTTTCAAAAGAGCATGATGGTTTCATCTGTCAAATGGCGTTTTCCTATAGGCGTGCTATTAGTATTGGGACACAGAAGTCTTGCTTGGAGAGAGAGAGAGACTATTACTATTGAGATTTTTCAGGCATTTCTGTAGAAATTGTTTTCCCATGAAAATAACTCTAATTAATATAAGTAGATATTATATATTAAGATTAACATATACAGTAGTCAAAAGGTATTTATTTAGCCCTAGCCGGTTTTGCTCAGTGAGTAGAGAGTCAACTGAGGACTGAAAGGTCCCAGGTTTGATTCCGGCCAAGGGCAGGAACCTTGGTTGCAGGCTTCACCCCCAGCCCTGGTCAGGGCACATGTGGGAAGCAACCAATGAATGACACATCGATGTTTTTTTCTCTCTCTCTCCCCCTCCATTCTCTCTGAAAAGCAATGGAAAAAAAATATCCTCTTGTGAGGATTAAAAAAAATAAAATATTTATATTATTTACTATGGAAAAAAGACTATCTATCATCCCATAAAAAGGAAAAATTTAGTTTCTTTTATTCTTTGTTTTGTGTGTGTGTGTGATAGTTTGCCCAGAGTGCAAGCTAAAGGAAAACAAATACTTCTCCAAGCTGGGTGCCCCAATTTACCAATGCATGGGCTGCTGCTTCTCCAGAGCATATCCCACTCCAGCAAGGTCCAAGAAAACGATGTTGGTCCCAAAGAACATCACCTCAGAAGCTACGTGCTGTGTGGCCAAAGCATTTACCAAGGTGAGAATCTAACGGGCCCCAGAAACTTTCTAACCGTCCAACCAAAGAAATGCCCCAGAGTACATCCACGGGGTTTAATGTCAGAGGCGTCTGATGACACGTCCTTGTTGGGCATTAATACAGGGAGGAACTGCATTTGTCCCCTATAATAAAAAGAGCCAGCAACCTCGTGGGTACACGTTGGTTTTATTTAGAGTAAAGAGAATAGGGGCAGAGGTGGTAGGGGGCAAGCTGGGAGAGAGGATAGCATGTCACACAATGCACCCCTCACCTTTTAGAGTCCAGATACCAGAAAGGGAGAAAATGCAAATCTAGCCAGCATCTATTTAGCTCAGCTGGCTACAGATAATTTTATTTAACATTTTAAATTTTGTCTATCTATCTAACTACCTACCTTCTTTTCCTTCCGCTTTAGGCCACAGTAATGGGAAATGTCAAAGTGGAGAACCACACAGAGTGCCACTGCAGTACTTGCTATTATCACAAATCTTAAATATTTTGCAAAGTGCTGTGTTGATGATGACTGCTGATTTCCTGGAATGGAAAATTAATTTGTTCAGTGTTTCTGGCCTTTCGAGATAAAACCTCCTTTACCTTACCACACCCTTTTTGGCATGCTTCAAGGGTATACTGTAACTTTATTGCTTTTCTCTACTCTACAGGATAATCAGCAGTTGGTTCTTTTAATTTGGAATGAAATACAGCGTTTAGCATGACTGTAAAAAGCTGGTTCTGCTGGAAATAAAGTCTTTTAAATCATCGTTCTATCACTGAATTCTAATTTTTTCTTCAAAGTTTAAAGTCAGTTCATTTTCATAGAATTAGTTGGAGGGAGTGAGCCCATAGGTGAGCTGGAGCTGCAGTCACTGAATGACCTGGCCCTAGAGAACCATGTCCCCACTAAGCCTTCTAGAGCAAGTTGTGAATCATTCAGCCAGTGGACTAGTTATAGACATTCCACTGGGATGAGGGAAGACAATATAACTTGTATTTTTATCCATTTTTATATCATCTATTTCAATGGTTGATGAGCTTTATAAAAGTACAGATACATTAATATGGTGATGCATATACAAAATTTACAAATAGATAATTATGCATATTTGGGGATGTACCAACTTTTTACTGGTAGAGGTTCTCAATTAAAAAAAAAAGAGAGAAAGAACACTGCCCTAGGGTTTGGGAAAGACAAAATCCTTCCCAGCCTAAAGTTTCTATCCATTTGGCTTATGTCTAGCAACAAAAGAAAAAAAAAAAGCATCTTATTAATCCCTGGCAGCCAGGTTGTAACTGAATAGGGTGGCTCAGGAAAGGATATTACTGTCCTCAACTAAAAGTAGGCATTGCTCCGAAATTCCCGAGGCCTCAGCTCTTACATTCCATGTTCAGGTCTGAGTGGGAATGAATACATGGTAAGCAAAGTACCCACCGACTGTTCACTGATGGAGTACCAAGCACTTTCACTTAGTTCTATGCAAATGCTTAAGAGGTGCCATGCTTCAAAATCACATTTATTGAGCATTTATACTTAAAAAACAGAGATCGTCCTTACTTTGAGGACCATGGTTTTTGCTCATTAATTTATATTGGCTATGGTAGTGATCAAAGCAACCCAAAAGTTCTAGTTCTAAAGGAGCCTGAAATTGGGGGGGAGGGGGGCAGCGAATCACACTAGTCACAGATAAGGTTTTCATAAAAATTTTTCAGTCATCACCAATTTGTCAAGATTCCATTTCTGAGTGAAAAATCCCTTTTTATAAGGTTGGTAAACACACCAGTTGTCAAGGTGAAAAATTAAAACGAGTGCATGTACTTTTTAAGAAACACTGAAATCCACATGAACATATTACTTCACTTGTTAATTCATTTATTTATTATACATTTATTTAATGTCTAGTAAGTGCTGTCAGATTGTTAGATCATGGGGATTCAGAGATATCAGGATTCTCTGGAAGATAAGATTGAGAAAATATAACAGCTTAATTTGAAAGAATAACTGTGCTGATCATTGGCTCATTCAAATATTTAACAAATATTCATTGAGAATCCACTATGTGTAAGGTCTTGAGAACTTGTTTGGGTGAGTCAGCAGGAGAGGAGATCTACTGACACACCTTTGACTGGAGTGCCCTTGTCCATCTGGGATCATCCCATTTGACAGAGGGGATGGAAGGAGTAATGAGAGAGGAAAAGGACTTCTTCATGATCATTCAGAGCAGCCAAATCAACCCTGGTGAGCACTAGGGTGAAATGTCTTGGCTTTATTTACCTCCCATCTGACCATGTGCCAGGCATGGTGCTGGTCCTCGGAAGGCCAAAGTGGCTAAGACACAGACCCTGCCTTGAAGCAATCACAGCCCAGTGAGGAAGAGAGACATGAACAAGGAGTTACAATCTAGTGAGATATCTGCTATGGGAATGATGAGGACTTTTGTGGCATAAAGGAAGGGATGGTTAACTCCATCTGGTGGTGTCCTTCACAGAGAGTTCATAGGGCAAGTGATACTTAAGCTGGGTCTAGAAGATAAGTAGATAGATGGAGGAGGGCTCATTCTAGTTCAAGGAAACAACATAGGTAAATGTCCTCAGATGAGAACCAGTATGACAGTCACAGAATTGTAAGAAGTCAGTGTGACTAGACTTCAGGTAGCTGGTTGGAAGTTTGGAGCTGCAGAAACAAATAGACACCTGCCAAGAAGTTCCTTGTATAACATGCAAAAGAAAAACGTGCATTTCATCTAGGACCCTACCTTCTCAAACTGGAGGACCTGGGAGTTTCTGAAAGCCACACAATAAACATGTATCTTCTTGCTGGATCAATTTTCTTGAGGATTTGGGGAAATGTTATTTTCATTTCAAAACAGAAACTGATCTATTATAAAATAGAATGCAAAATTGCAAAAATGGGATTAAAAATTGTGACTTCAAGATAAATTTTATGTTGTAAGTGAGGCCTTCAGGATCCTGCTCTTCTGACCCTCCCAGACCTCCTGGGAACTTGTCCACTCTTCTTACATTAGGAGTACTTAAGTGGAGGAGTGTGAGAAGTTCTATTAAAGGAATAATATGCTCAGCCTTGCACTTTAGAAAAATCATTGTTGCAGCAAGTAGAGGGTGATTTGAGAAGGTAGGAGACTGGACATAAGATCACGAATCGGGACCTTTGCAATTACCTTGGCAAGAGATGGTGATGGACTACTGGCAGTGAGGGTGAGGGTAAGAGGAAGGGATGGACTTGGGCGGAATTAGGAGGAAATTAAGAGATGATTGTGCGTGTGGCTTCTGGTTTTGGGGTGGCTGGTGGATGACTGTGCCAATAGCTGGGAAATGGAAAAGTTTGGCATGGCAGCAGAGGGGAGATGACAAATACAGTTGGGGACCTACAGAGCTGAGGCTCTAAGGAGCAGGCGAGCCTGGCCGACGGGCAGCGTGTTCAGTGATACAGAGCTCAGGAAAGGACCCCAGCCTGGGGATACAGGCTTGGGGAGCAGCGGTGGTCAGTGGTATCAAAACCACAGGAGCGGCTAGGACTGCTCGGGAGCCTGTGAGGGCATGAGGGAGAGAAGATGCTGGACCACCCAGGATAGATTCTGGACCAGTCTGGCTGAGAAAAAAGGTGCTATGTCTTTTGGGACAGTCAATTAGAAACTCTGATAGGAGCTTTATCTAGAGAAAAGATTATAATCTCAGATATATAAGCAGTGAAGAGGAAGAGAGGCAGGCATGGAGGCTGGAAATGGCACTTCAGGCCTCTCTGTGAAAAATGCCTAAAAGAAGTAACGGAGGTAGAGTAAGCACAAGCTTGAAGGGTGCTTCTTCAAAAAATGTTCTGTCATTCACCTCACCCAGAAAGCTGCCTGAAATTCCCCCATTTGAGATTCCTTCCTTAGGTCGAAAACACAGTATTTCAGGCACCTTCCTTTTAAGTAGCAACACATCTGACTGAGGCAACACGCTTGGCCATTAACACGCTTACCACAAGGTAAGTTAACAGACCACCAGGTCTGTCTGCACGAGGGGTCCTGGATTCTGGTTACCAGAGAGAGAGGGTGTCTGGCAGAATGATAAAAGGCTAGCACAGAAGCAAGACTTCTGCTGCTTTGTAGTTGTGTCAAGAACTGACCATGAGAAGAAACTCCTAAGTGATCACAGGGATGTCACTGATGACGAGGGCTCAAGAAGGAGGTCAGTAAAACAGGAGGGCTCCTGTGCACCAGCCTGTGTCCTGGGAGTGAGAGGAAAGGGCAGGAAAAGATGAGAGAGAGACAGAGGAGAGGGAAGAGAGAGAAGAATGGGGAGGGTATACAAAGCAGTGGAAGGAAAACGTGCGAGAGGCAAGGCGGAGAGGCTGGAAGGGCTGCCGGAGGAGTCTGTAGCCTCAGAGGAGGCTGAACTGGGCCACAGCAGAGAGAAAGCCTTGACTCTCTTTGCTTCCACCTCCCCGCCCACTACTGTCAGAGGCTAAGTAATCACCCATAGTCAGGATCTCTAGCCTATGGGGAGCTTTTGTTCAAACAGAAAAAGATGCCCTCTCTGGGCAGGCGGAGCACCTGGAGTAAATGCTTCATAATTAAATGGCACAGAAAAGTGGATACCAGTCAGTCCTTACCCTCGGCTGGCACCTTTGTGTAGTACGCATACTATGCAATCTTCTATGACGGCCCTGCCCATAATCTCACCATCCTAACATGGCCATTGTTGCATTTTGGAGAGATTACATCTTAAGTTGGCAAGAATCTTAGTCGACATGGAAGATTCCAAATATTGATGTGTTAATTATCCTAATAATGCTGGGAGGCTTCTGGAGAAAATATTGCCCCAAACAGTTTTGTGTTGCTTTTGCCGTCTATGGGGAAACTAGAAGAGCTGCCCATAATCTGCTCCCGACAGGAAGGTAAAACCAAAGAATCCATGTGTAAATGACCATAGAGCTGACATGAAGGAGTTGGTTAGGACCACAAACCTCAAGAAATGCAGAGAGGTCCTCTTATTTGGCAAAAAAATTAATCGAAGCCAAACCACCTGACTTGAATACAGAACTTTTACTTTCTCAGAACTGTCTGTGCCTAATGTGTCATGAGTCTCAATCAGCCCCTTGTGGACCACAAGTCAGGGCAGGTGGCACCACCTCCATTTGACAATTGGATAAATGGAAGAACAAAAAGCTTTGCTTGTACAGGGACTGAGCCTGCGTGGGACATTGGGTCTCCCCTATCTCTTGTTTTGTGCTGCTTTTTTCAAATTCCAATTTATTCTCAAGGTAAAGAACTTATTTCTCCCTGGATACTGAATAGGAGGGCTCTCTTGGAGATTTGCCCAGGGTGAGAAGCCATCACATTAAAATAAATGAAGTCTGAACTGTGACTTGTCCATCGATGTTTGTCTAGCAGGCTGGACTTCAGCTTCACTCTTACAGCTCCTCTTGATGTACTCAGCCTCCTTCAGACACTTTTTTAAAGCTTAATTAGAAGAAACACAAAGAGATTTCTCTGTTCTGAAAACCAAGTAGGATTTTCATATTCTCCTATTCAAAACTGGATAGCGTACGGGATTGTAAATATGAAACACTGTTTTTACAAAGAACTGAAGATGGGTCTGAGTTTTTTTGGAGCAAAGAGAGAAGTTAATTATTACATCAAACTTCAAAACAGGAGACATAAAAAGAAAATAACTGGTGGATGTTTTTTAATGAATTCTGCTTCTGAGTCCCAGAAGAGCACATGCTCTGAAAAGTACTTTCCTACTGAACCTGACTTCAGGGCTC